CTCTCTCTCTCTCTCTCTCTCTCTCTCTCTCTCTCTCTCTCTCTCTCTCTCTCTCTCTCTCTCTCTCTCTCTCTCTCTCTCTCTCTCTGTGGAGTCATCGTGGCATTTCAGAGCTCCACTCGTTAGGGCTTTTTCCTGTGGCAAGGGTTCCCTCTTGCTCCTCGGCTCTGTAGTCTTTGAGCTCGACTCGTTAAGGCCTTTCCCTGTCACTAGGTTTCGCTCTTGCTCATCGGTTTTGTGGCCGTTGTGCAAGTTTGTAGGGATTTTTAAAAAAAAATCCTTTTCCTGGTCAAAAATGTAAGGGTTCTTGCAAGGATTTTTTTTCCCTTTTTTCTTTTTTTTTTTTCCAATTTTCTGGCCCGACTTTGAGAGGAAGTTTCCCCCTCTGCTCACTTTTTGAAAAGAGAGTACCTTTAAGGCTTTAACCTTTGAAAATTCAAAATTGGCAGTAAAAAATATGAAAAAAATAAAAAATGACGGTGTTGTTTGTCGATCGGCTTACAGTTGCTGTGGTATTTCTCCGGCGAAATCATCTCATAAACCCCTGCAGGAGCAGAGAGAGTGGATCTAAAAAGACATGTTACTCCGATGGATCGTTAATCAAATGAACCGAACCGAATCGCCGGAAACGGAACAACGGTCAGTGTTCTGGCCCCTGATGGTGCATCAGATTGTACGCTATGTACATTAGTGCAATGTACATTGCCCGGACAATGGCGTTTTTTTTGTACATTTGTGCACGTACAAAAATGTGGTTTTTGTGCAATGCCGGGACATTGCATACGAGTGCGCAATGTACAGCGCCCGGACAATGCGGATGGGTTTTCTTTGGTACATTTGTAATTTTGTACACGTGCAAAAATGTGTTTTGCCTGGACAATGCAGATGAGTTTTTTTTGGTACATTTGCACGGAACACAAAAATGTTTTTTTTTTTTTTTTTTCTAATCGATTTTGAACTTTTATCTCGAAGTATGTTGCGAATTTCACTTTTTGTCTGAGGCAAAAGTTGTTCAGAATAATGTTTTTTATTACATATATTTTTTTGTGGCCGGCCCGGGCAAACAAGGTGACCAGGGCAGCCCGGCTCGTAGCCTAGTTTTTTGCAATTTTTTTAAAAAGTTTGTTTTTCTGCTCCCACAAAATCGGTACTGCGGTAAATTAAACCGTACTAAAACGGAGTATAACGCGTAGAACAAACCCCGTGCAGCGGAGTACAACAAACATACAAAAAAATTTAATCTTTTGTATGCACATCGCACGAGATGCACTGGCGTGCGGTAACCATGACAGTTCTAAATGGTATAGCCAAGCCGTCCATGACTCCATGGTGTAGTTGACCCTTCGGAAAGTGAAAGGGTGTTTGTTGGTTGGCTGCTTTAGTTTGTTCGCTGTTCACGTTTTGTTTCACCTCTTGCCTTGCTAGGGTTGAGGAAGGTTGGTATATTTGGGAGGGGGGG